AAAACAACCAAACCCTAACCAACCCAAAACCCCTAACCAAACCAACCAACTAAAAACCTAACCAAACCTAACCAAACCAAACCCTAACCAACCCTAACCTAACCCAACTTAAAAAAACCCTAACCAACCTAAACCTAACCTAACCAACCTAACCTAACCTAAAAAACCCTAACCAACCCTAATAAAAAACCCCTTAACCTAATAATAACCTAATAACCTAACCCCCCTAACAACAAACCTAACCAACCTACCTAACCAAACCAAACCCTAACCAAACCCAAACCCTAACCTAACCTAACCAAACTAACCAACCTAAACTAACCTAACCTAAACCTAACCTCCCCTAACCTAACCTAAACCAAAACCCTAACCTAACCTAACCTAACCTAACCTAACCTAACCTAACCAACTTAACCTAACCTAACCTAACCTAACCTAACCTAACCTAACCTAACCTAACCTAACCAAACTTAACCTAACCTAACCTAACCTAACCTAACCTAACCTAACCTAACCTAACCTAACCTACCCAACCTAACCTAACCTAACCTAACCTAACTAACCTACCTAACCTAACCTAACCTAACCTAACCTAACCTAACCAAACTTAACCTAACCTAACCTAACCAACTTAACTAACCTAACCTAACCTAACCTAACCTAACCTAACCTAACCTAACCTACCTAACCTAACCTAACAAACTTAACCAAACCCCCTTAACCTAAAAACCTAACTAACCTAACCTAACCTAACCTAACCTAACCTAACCTAACCTACCCTAACCTAACCTAACCTAACCTACCTAACCTAACTAACCTAACCTACCTAACCTAACCTAACCTAACCTACCTAACCTAACCTAACCTAACCTACCTAACCTAACCTAAACCTAACACTAACCTAACCTAACCTAAAACTTAACCTACCTAACCTAACAAACTTAACCTAACCTAACCTAACCTAACCAACCTAACCTAACCTAACCTAACCTAACCTAACCAAACTAACTAACCAACCTAACCTAACCTAACCTAACCTAACCTACAAACCTTAACCTAACCTAACCTAACATAACTTAACCTAACCTACCTAACCTAACTAACTAACCAAACTTAACAACCTAACCTAACCTAACCTAACCTAACCTAACCTACCCTAACCTAACCTAACCTAACCTAACCAAACTTAACCTAACCTAAACTAACCTAACTAACCAAACCTAACTAACCTAACTAACCTAACCTAACCAAACTTAACCTAACTAACCTAACCTTACTAAACCTAACAA